GGCCATTTTAGGTCCGAATCAAGTGATTCAAGAGCCTATATTGTGTAGTTTTTCATGAGGATCGTCGTGGTGTGGTTGGTTTTGGCTGTTGGAGCTTCATTTTTGGTAAAATCTTGTAAGTAGCTGCTGCCATAGTTGCTGATTTTTAGCTTAGAATTTGGGTTCTTTTGTTGCATGTTCATGTTGGGACTGTTTTGAGTCCTGAATTATGCTCCATTATGGTATACAAGTTTCGAGAGTTATTTAGGACTTTTATTTGGGGTTAATTCGGGATTTCTCAACGCGGATCCCACTTTTTCCATTTTGACCATGAAATTGACCCGTCTCCGTTTCTTGCGATTTTAGTGTATCAACGTTTCGAGGCCTTTTAGAAAGTAAAAGATCCGGGGAGTGAATTTTGGAGCGCGCGTGATCTGCGTTCAGGTAGGCTATGGTTTCTCTTCTTAGATTGAACTCGAACATGTGAATGCATGTTGATTAGTTGGGATTTGGGGTTGGGTAGTTATTGGATCATGCATAGGTGTTACAAATCATATTTCCGCTTTTTTTTTCCTGAGAATTATCGGGTAACTGTGAGCATGTTTATTGTTATTAATTGATTTTTTTTGCTATATGAATTACTTGTATGTTTGAATACTGGTTGTCAGAAGTATGTTGGGCCTTAGTTTAAGTTTGACTAGGGTTTTCCTTAGAAATGCATGATTCAAAGTCGGTAGGACTTAGTTTAGCCCCGACGTCGCTCGGCCGGCTTAAATCCTTGTAGACTGATGTAGCAGACTTGAGTCTGATAGTTGGGTATTTAGAAAGACGATGAGCTTGCTCTAGCGATTGTTACTCTTATTTCTTCGATGTTACGGCTTCTCGAGTTACGTCAGTGACAATGATTTCCGCTCCGTGATTCAAAGTTGAGTTTCTATTCGACTTTAAGGTCTTACATTGATTAGCTAAGTTTGGATGGTGTTCCATGGGTTTATATGATTACGGATAGATAAAGACTCTTTCAGCAGCTATATCGACATCTTTGTCGGGTATCCGGATTTAAGGTCCGGCCTCGAACATCCACATACTTATGTAGAGCATCCGGTTAGAGGTCCGGCCTCAAGTATGTAGAGCATCCGGTTAGAGGTCCGGCCTCAGTTACTTATATTTTGCAATTGGCTACTTGTGTAATTCTGGTGAGTGTCCGGTTCAAGGCCCGACCTTCGTACCGTCAGATTTTACTTTTTGGTTCGGTGTTCTTCGGCCTCGAGTTTTATTCTCCTTAAGTTATAGTTATTTTGTGTACTCGTCGGGCTTATGGGGGTCCGTTCGGGTTTTTATTTAAACTTGTGCACGAGTGTACCTTCTGGGCTTATGGTGGGTCCAGTTAGGTATAGTTAGCTTATTTATATTAATTTAGTTAGATTTTTATACACTCGTGTGCATTATTGTGTTACTTAGCCTTCTGTTCTTGATCTCTAGTTTTGTGATTCCGTCTTTTCATAGTGCTTTACTTTTCTAGTTCAGTCGGCCTATGATGCCTACTGGGTACCTGTTTTTTTTGGTACTCGTGCTACGCTCTGCATCTATTTTCGTGATGCAGGTCCGAGCACCGGTAGTCAGCGTTGATCGAGTTTGGAGAATTTCTGGTCTGGAGACAGGGGTGAGCACACAGCGTTTTGTACTATTTCAGTCTCCATCTGTTTATATAAAGATTTGTCTTTTACTTTTCGAGACAGTCTAGTTTCGGTGGTCCACTGTGGGACTTGTACTCGTTTTGTTGGTAGCTCTGTATTAGTGACTTCCAGGTTCTGGGAGGGATCCTTTATTGTATTTATGTTTTGGTTTGTTTATGTTGTTATAGTAATTTTTCTTAGTCTTGTTTAGTTTCTACCCTCACACCCAGTATGTGTGGTTCTGGGTTGTGGTTTGGCTTACCTACTGATGGGTTATAGTAGGTGCCTTCATGGCTCGAGAAATTGAGTCGTGACATTACAGCAATGAGAAGAAAAAGTACTATTTGTTACAAAGGAAAAGTAATGTACCATCCTCGCGTTCATTCCCCTCAGCATCTAATGGAGCTGGTTCCAGAATGTTCATTGAATTTGCAATCAAATCCTCAGTGCTTGAAATGTTAAGCATTCGCATGTTTCTGTTCCTATCCTCCACTCTTGGAACAAATAGCTTCTTTCGCATCTGCAAATCTAGTCTTATTTGATAACAGTAAAAATGAACAAGAACCAAGGTCTACAACAAGCTAAAGACTTGACAACGAAGAGAAAAAAAGCTGAGACTTGTAATAATGTTTCCACCAAGTGCTTAATAAAGAATAATAGCATTACCAAATAGTCAGGTACGAACACCGCCTAGCCTTAAAAATCAGTTCCTCATTAGTACTTTAGAATATATTAGCAGAGAAGTATTTACTATATGGGATATCCAATATAGCATACTCCTTATATCGATTAATCAATCAACTACGACTCAATCCCAAACTAGTTAAATAGAATTCCTAGTGGTGGTCTGTGAGCCTCAGCATTGTTACAAGCCAAAGATTTAAACAGAATACTCCTGCCCTTTTACACCCAAAAAATCCCCTAATTTTCAAACGCAATTCTAAAACACACCTCTGAATGGCTACTGAGAATATGAGATAGTATTCGGCTTGTATCTACTTCTCGCAAGGCACTACAGCTTATGTAAGCGCACAATCCCTTGCAAGCCTTAAACCACGGGGCCTCCATTACAATCCTTTGTATTGCTTCATCTAACCAGTCGCATAGAAATCAAAGCATCACTACACGTTCAAAAGGAAAAACAAATCAAAGTCTATAACTACTACGTGTATTGAAAAGAACTACCTTCTTCGGATCTAAGGGTAGGATCCATGGATTTGAGATCTCTTTTAACAACCAAACGGAGGGCCTTTTTCTGCTTGAAGATTGTGTCCAAATGGGCAGTGTCAGAAGTGTTCTGTTCTCCGGCGGTGCTCATGGTGGCAGTGGCGGAACACGGTGAGGTTTGACGGCGGAGGATAGCGGAGCGGGTGGGGAAGAAGCGGCTGGTGGACAGTGACACTGCCCAAGGAATGGCCATCTAATCGCCTCTCCTCCGTTACCCACGCGCGGTTAACCATTGGAGTAATTTAATATTTTAAAATTACCAGAAGTTATTGATTTTAGTATTTCAGCAGGATGATTATCAATTAATTGATATATAACTTTTTAAATTTTAAAAAATAATTTGAAAAATGGATAATAAATGTTGAGGGTATATGACAAAAATATGTTTTTCTTTGATACACTAAAATCGACAAGCAAAAATGATAGACATGATGGTTAGGGGTGCGCATAAACACCGGAAAATCGAAACATCGAATTGAATCAAAATTTTTTAAAATTTCGGTTTTGGTTTTTCGGTTTTCGGTTCGATATTTGATTTATTTTTTTGTATTTTCGGTATTTTAGTTCGGTTTTTGGTACGTATTACTTTGGAATTCGATATTTCAGTTTAAACCGAAATATTATATTTTAATTTATAAATTATATTATATTTAACAATTATTAATATTAGATAATTTTTTTTAAAAAAATAAAAAATCCTAAATCCCTAATACCCTATCCTCTTCACTCTTCGGCACAACTTCTTCAACTTCATCCTCTCTCTTCAACTTCATCCTCTTCCTCTCTCTTCAACTTCGTCCTCTCCTCTTCACTCTTCAGCACAACTTCTGCCTTCTTTTCTCCTCTTCCTCTTTTACTCCAGCCGGCGTCCACCGCCACCAGTAGCAGCGCCGCCAGCCGCCATCCTCGAGCAGCAGCCAGCCGCCGGCGAGTCAGCCACCAGCCAACCCACTAAACAGGCCCATTAAAAAATCGAAATAAAAAACCGAATCGAATTAACAAAAATCGAACCGAACCGAAATATTTCGATTCGGTATTCGATACGTAATTTTAAAAAACCGAAAACCGAAAAAAAACCGAACCGAACCGAAATACCGAATGCCCACCCCTAATGATGATTATAAATTTGAGTTATTGGCTAGTAATAGAATAAAAATATTTATAATTATAATTCACATTATTAAATATATTTCTCAAGGAGCGTGAGCCCGGCTTTCCTGATCTATCAAAAGAAATCCAAGTTTTATTAGAACATTTTCTACGTGATATATTTTGTGATATATTTTTATGAGGTTAATCTTGAATCGTCATTCGTTGCATAAATATTTTTATTTAACTGAATACTTTTGGACAAAAAATCTCAATTTCAGAATCTTTATTGAGTGAATTATTTAAAAACAGTCATAAACTCATAAGCTCAAAGTTAAACCAGTAATATGAATCGAAAATATATTTTGATAATTATTTGGTTGCGTTGACTGACCCATTTCGGAAGGTAACAACTAATGAGATGATTTTTTATATGGATCATTCGTGGAATAGCTTGGATTAAATGGCGACATGTTATACCATACATTTTTTCTTTTATAACTATGATGTGGAAGCAAATTTCCGGGTATCTTTATTAATTCTAGAATTTACTTGTAATTTTACGTTATAAATATAGGTTCTTATTATAGTAGAATAAAAGTATAGTACCGTAATTATTATTTAATCATTCAAGATAAAATATATATATCTATATATATACTCAATTGTTATTTACATTAAATCATATTATTTTTTTCTCTATCGTGTATGCTTTAAAGGGAGCATGATTGACGACCGTTAATATAGTTAATTGATCCGCCAAGCACTTTCCTATTAATTAGTTAAACATTTTGAAACTTTTGCATTAGGGAAAACTAAACTTCTTTCTTCCTTCTTCACAGAAAGAAACTAGAGAGAAAAAAAAAGAGGGTGATCATGATCTGGGGTTTATTTTAGCCACCATGATCATGATTCATCTCCTTTCATTGTTTGCCTTTTGATCATCAATCTTTGTCTTGAATATTGTTAGGGGTATTTTTATTAGAAAAAAAAAATTAAGGTAAAAAGGAAAGAAATGGCTTCGCGATCTTTCAAATGCTTGGTTGAACAAAAGCTTGGGAGAGTTGGGGTTTTCTGTGTATATGCTGTTCTTGAATGGGTGATGATCCTTCTTCTTTTCATTGATGGTTTTCTTGCACTTTTCACCAATGAATTTGCGAAGTTTTTTGAATTGAAAGTCCCCTGTTTGCTCTGCACAAGGATCGATCATATTTTCATAAAGAGGAACTCTAGTTTCTATTACAACGAGTCCATTTGTGAGGGTCACAAGAAAGACATATCTTCCCTCGCGTATTGTCATGTCCACAAGAAGCTTTCTGATATAAGAAACATGTGTGAAGGGTGTCTTCTCTCTTTTGCAACAGAGAAAGAAGCAGATTGTGATAAGTACAAGTCGTTAGTTGGGATTTTGCACAAGGACATTGATTGCTTTGTGGATGATGATAAGAGAATGTCGATAAAATCAGTTAAGAACGAAGAAGAGGTTATCAAAACTGCAAGTGTTGTGCTTCGGAACTGTTCTTGCTGTGGGGAACCTCTGAAATTGAGGACTAAATATGCCAGGAACTCATCCATAAATGGAAATCACTACACTCAAGCTCCTGCCTCATCTCCTCGATCTCCGTTAACGTGGAAAAATGAGGAATCCGGCAATATGGAATTGCCTCGTATCCAGTATACAAAGCTCAAGTTTTCCTCAGATAATGAATCGATTCTACCAGATGATGAGGGACACCAGAATGCAGGTATCTATTTGTCTTTACTATTTCTTTTGGCTTAAAGTTTTCTGCATTATCTGTATTGAGGTAAAAAGAAAAAAAGGGGAAGCTCTTTCATCTTAACTCTGCAATTTTTACAATTAGAGCTCAACATCTATCAACTCTCACTCTTCAGTGTACACAACTTAAATCTCACAATTATCAAGATGACTAACAATCTCAGTCTCTGATAGCGCACGTACAAGACTGTCATTGTTGAAGGGGATAGTTATAATATTTGTGTTAAGAGTCGAACTATATTTTCAATGTGTAGCAGGTAGAGAGGATATTAAAGCTGCTACTGCCCCGCTGCTACCAGATCCCGAGGACATTCATGAGGAATCTAGCAAAACCCCAGTTTCTGCAAGAAACAAGTTCTTTGGGATCCCATTAACAGACTCCGCTCAAGCTAGTCCAAAGTGGCCTAATAAGCCCAGAAAATTGGGTGGTGATAAGAGTGAATTCATCTCAGATGCTAATGACGCGAGTGCAGTAAACGAAGCAGATGATGACATTGTGCATAGCTTGAAGAGGCAGGTTCGTCTGGACAGAAAGTCTCTTATGGAATTATACATGGAATTGGATGAAGAAAGAAGTGCCTCTGCTGTGGCAGCTAACAATGCCATGGCCATGATCACACGTTTGCAAGCAGAGAAGGCAGCTGTACAAATGGAAGCCTTACAGTATCAGAGAATGATGGAAGAGCAGGCAGAATATGACCAAGAGGCCTTGCAAGTCATGAAAGACTTAGTTTTGAAGAGAGAGGAAGAGATAAAGGTCTTGGAGGCTGAAATCGATACCTACAGGGAGAGATATGGAATTATCAAGAAAGTCGGTAGTGAGGTTTGTGAAGTTGATGCAGATGATGATTATCAAGAGTTGAGATCTCAGTCTGCATCATCCTTCGATGGAAGATCCGACTGTAGCAGTCCTCGTCAAGCAGATCATAATGGAGTAAATGGATTCCATATTGGATGTCCTGGGGAATATAGAGATGAAAATATTGATGAATCAAACCTTGATTTTGAGAACGAGAGATCTTATCTACAGGGTTTGTTAACAACCCTTGAAAAGCAGATCAAAATACCTCCTGATGTTGACTCTCATGTGCTAGAATCAAATGTGATTCAAGACAAAGGTATATATGAGTCTTTGCTTTCTCTATTTACCAGCCTTCTTTTTCTTTTCATTCTTAGTTAAAGACTACCAGATACTAAATATCAAGTTCTCTTCTTAGGAAATGATAATAAGGTTATACTTACAAGAGAAGTCTCTCTACTTAGAGAGAGATTGAGAGCTGTTGAAGCAGAAAGTGGTTTCTTGAAACACGCCGCCATGACATTACAGAGGGGTGGAGACGGAACCAAACTCTTGACTGAGATAGCTCAACATCTGCGGGAGCTTAGACACAGAGATACAGCAACAGAAGTTGCAGATGCATGACTTTTGTCCAAAAAGGTGATTCTTCCCTAGTGAGCTCTCTTCTTAGTTGATAGCCGAATGTACTAGAATTTCTTTAAAGCAACGAAATGATAAGAATTAGAAAGTTATGCAGTTATGTATGGTGTAAATTTTCCAAAGAGGAGTGTTCAAGAGCTACAGAAGTACAGAACCATTCATACTTTTAGCTAATATTTAACTCCAACAATAAACTTGTTGGTCGTGTTTTCAGAATTTTTGCATTTATGTTTCATGTCATTTGTCAGTTCCCTTATCACTGGAAGCTTAATGCTCCTAGAAGTCTGCAGAACATTGCTGACAACTTTTTGTGGTCGCGCTCTTAAGGGCCTGGTTTACCAAGATGCTGCTACAACGACCTTGAATATTTCATAGGTAATTAAATTAAAGAAGATAAGTGTATCAATTCATCATTTCCATTTTGAGTTGCAATTTAACTGCTAATTGCAGCAGGAGTCAGTAATGTAACAAGTGTTTTTTGCAGTTCTCTTTTTTCTTTTCCTCTCTCCTGTTCTTCCATATTTAGGATGTACAGTTAAAGAAGGAGCCCTGAAGGCTTCAGCTTTGGCATTTCCCATGAGCTTTACTTCTCATTACTAAGAGGGGCTTGAGGTTCTTCAGGTAATATTCTATAGCATGCTAGTATATTCACTAGGCATAAGCCAATTTCTTTCCAAATTTTGAGAAGGAAAGTAAATACATATTGGGATGTGTTAATATCATTCTGGAATGGACCGAGTAAAGGATCCAAAGAAAAATGATTGGTTTAAACTTCTCCTTTCTAGGTGAGGATTGAATATATGTGCTAGATTGATGTATTTTTAAAGGATAATCTCCTTAGAAACAAGTACTATTAACTTAAATGGGTTCTTATTGACCTACAAACCTCCTATTTTAAAGTATTTTTCTCCCAA